CTGTCATTACTGTGGCTTTTACCATTTGCTGCAAGGGCTTTTAGAGGGATATGAGTCTTCCCTGACAGCAGTGGGTTGCCACAATATAATTTTTATTGAGGGTGTTGCACACATGTTGCCTGTAGTGTCAACAGCTGCTGCGTCCCAGTCAGCCAGTGTCTCAGTTGCCTGACARTCTCCAGACACTCTGTGCTGCTGTTGACAGTGGTGCAATAAGTTGTAGGTCTCAGCAAGCCAGGAAAGATCTTTTCCAGCCCCATTTTGCTGAACAATACATGCTTCACAAGGCCAGAACTCTCTTTACTCCGAGGCCTCTAAGTGCTGGGAATCCTGCTGTTCATTTCCACRTCCGTGAACTGCTGGGCATTCTCGGTGCTCTCTGGAGATGTGCTGATTGGGGAAATCACGTGCTTGAGGCGCAGCAGCATGGTGAAAAGCAAGAGGAGAAGAATGGACAGCAGTGTTAAGAACAACCCCACGTACACGTACAGGCTGGAATATTTATCTGCTGTTGTGTCTACTTCTGTAGCCAGAGTTGGGAGATGGACACGGCCAGTCAGGTTTCCACTGAATTTAAAATAAATCTCAGTCATTGCTCTCTGTCAGCTTTCGTCCATTTTCCCTATTTACCATCAATATCTCTGTCTTCCCTCACCAGACTCACAAAGCAGGGCAAGAGAGGAGACAGGCCTGACTGCAGAATTCAGCAGGAAACGCTTCTTCCTCCTGGCCCCAGAACTGCTGGATGAGACACATGCGCACATTGCATGAGACAGGCCTTTAAGATCATTATTCAATTGCTGCTATAATGACAGCAAACATTAGACTTGTGTTTTACTCCAACATTAGGCTTTTATTTTGTCCTGAAAGTGCAGTGATCCTTCTGGGAGGACACCCCTTTTGGTAGGTGATACACTTCGGGCTTTCTCTCAAACTGAACTGCAAAGGCTTGCACAGCTTTGCTCTTTGTAAGAGTTGCTTTTTTTCCAAACAGAATCAGTGAGATTTCTGCCGGCTTCTCCTGCAGCAGGTGGATTATCCTTGCCTGGGCTGGGGGGAGGTTGTTTTCTCCTTTGCCAGTCTGCTGGGGGATCTCTCCTCTCCCAAGCCAGGGTTACTGTTGCTTGCTTAGAGTATGGAGTTTTGAGTTACTTGTTAGGACAGTCAAAAAGTCATCTTTCTAAAAGGAAAAGAGAGAGCAGGAGAAAAATAAAACCAAGTACCAAAATAGCTTAGATGTCTTTAGAACAAATAGTAATGAAATGAGTTTAATCTCTCATCTCCTCCTGTGAGACACCTGGTGATCAGGAAGATGACTATTTAGCTTTGAGGAAGACCATGCAAATCCACATGTGATGGTCTCCTTTCCTACCACTAACTAATAGCATTCTGTGAGCAAAACTTATTAGAAAGGGGGAAATCCTAACATTTCAGCACCTTGGTTACTTCCAGATGGAAACAGAAGATCTAAATGCTGAAATTTCTCCTTGAAAGCATCGTGCTCTGCTTTGAAAGAAAACAAAAATCATACAGAGTTTTGGTTTTAGCTAAAGAAAAAGTGGTGCTGAAATAATGCAGTCAATTCTGATCTTCACTGCATATGCACCTAGGTGGGATATAAGTAGATTAGTATTAATATTGTAATATATGACAGCAGTGATTAAAAGGAAACATTAGATCAAATGATGTTCTCTGGTGCTTTTACATAAGAGATTTCGCCCAAAAGACACATTKCTGCAAAACACTCTGGCTTTGGCAGGGCTTCAGTTCCTGACGTATGGCTACTTTATTGGCAATGCTTGGTTCAGTCCTAGCCACATGCCTTGCAGAGGGATGTGGTTGGGCTCCGGAGGCCTGAGGCATCAGGGAGCTGCTGTTTGAGCTTTCCTGACAGGCGAGTCAGACCTTTGCTGCATGTGCTGGGGAAATAGTTCTTGTCTTGAGCTTTTGGAGGAGTGACCCTGAGAACTGTCCACAATGTCTTTACCTGGATAGTTTGCACAGAGCAGTCTGAGTGCTTAACTCAGCTGCAAGGTCTTGTTGGCTTGACAACATGATTTCTTTTTGCCTGTCACAGATTCCCAACCTTCAAAGACCCATAGGCWGCAATGCTGCATAGGTAGTGAGCTTTCCTCTCTCTTTTAGCCTAGACCAGGAGTCTTGAAGGGTGTTTAGAATATCCATCTCCCAAAGCCAATGCCTGGGGATTGCTGGTCCATCAACTCAGGCTATGATGCCTAAACATCATAGTTTAGAACTTAGAAATCTAACTTCTCAGGACTTGGACGTTGGAGACGTGCAGTCTCCAACGGGCTTCAGTCAGGCAYGTCTGGGAAGCCAATGCAGAGCCCTGGAAATGGGAGATGGATTTTCTAGACCGTTCAGGCCTCATCAGTGGATTTGTACTTCCACTATTCCCTAGGTATCTCTGAAAATTTTCCTCTGAATCTCTGTGGGCAGTGGGGCTGTCAGAATACCCAACAATACCTTTGGTAACTAAAGTGAACAATTTGCATTGGAATCAGCACTGCAAATGTCACACTTAAAGCCAAATGAATATTTTATGTGCAGATCATAAACTTCCCCAGAAACCAAAAGTTTACAGGATACAGGTAGAAATACTTATAAACTTATAACTACAGCGAGCAGTATCATAAAAAGTGTATATATAGAGCTAATTTATGTCATTAGCAAGAACCTGCCATCAACTCTAGAGAATGCCTCAGTTTTCAACCCCAGACATGCAGTGTGCAGAATCACGTCACTGATGACTCAGAAACATCAGCTTGTGTAAACTTGTGCTGCTAAACTACAAAACCWCTGTCATTACTAATACAGTGCTGACATGCTAATAAGGAATCAAAGATCTTCCCATTTTGTTCAGTGCGGCTGCCCACAGGAACCATGCAACACATGCCTAGTGTAAGAAAAAGAAGGCAAGGAGGCGGTTGGTCATTCTAGGGAATCCCCAGCTGCGGAAGAGAGGCCTGGACATGAGGTTGTACTTGGAGGCTGAATGGCAGCCCAAGGGCACTGACCTACGTGCCTCGTGCCCCCAGCCCTGAGCTGCGYCCATGCAGCATCTGGGTTTGTAGAGCTCGTGCAGTCTCGTGCTGTGCACTGGGGTGTTGACCCTGGCTGCAGGCTGARTGCTAAGGCAGGAGCAGGGGGTGAAGGTGAAGATTTTGTTGCAGCCGAGTCCTGCAGCTCAGGTAATTGTGTGGTTTTCACACTTTGGATATATACATGGAAATTATTCTCTGGGAGGAACATTCTTACRTGACACGGTAGGTGGGAAATAGAGGATATGAAGAGTACTAGCTGTATGAAACCTCTGCTTTCTAAGTATTATTTCTCTATTGGTAATGAAATGCAATCAGTCCAAAATTTGACATATGCTTGGGGAAAGTACAGAGCAATGTCCTTGCCCATCTCATCTTTTTTTTGCTGAGAGCAAAAGCCAGAGCTGGTTTCACTCCTTAAGGAGTGGAGAGACTAATGGCTTTACATGCTTCATAAAATTAGACTACATAATGCTAAGGACATTTGTTTTAAGTTCAATAATTAAGTACAAGCCAAGACTGTGAATTAACAAAGCTCTGCTGGGCACTTATTAATAAAGGGAATGGATTAAAGAGCATTAGCACTGTGGTTAGCACAGCTTTTGCTTTTTTTTTTTTTTTTTTTTTTTTTTAGTCTCTACTCTAGGATTGTCAGCAGCAATCAACCCTTCCGCCTGTTAAAAGCTGGGAAAGTAACTACATCTTTTCCAGAAATAAATCAGTAGCTCCAGTCAAATGCTAGGATTTTTCTTTTCAGTGGCTCAGTGAGCACATCTCTTTGGGTGGTACTACAGGGAGCAAATGCCCCTTGTGGGCGTAAAAGCTGGAGGGCTGTAGAGACCAAGTCATAGGCAGGTAAATGGGCGCACAAAGAGCCTGGCAGCCTGTGCATGAAGCAGACAGGGATTCAAGCTCTGTTCAGTGTAGAACATCTGAGGCAAAACCTCCCTGGGTCCCTGAGAAACCCCCAAGTCCACTGACTGACGGAGAAGTAGATGTTTATTATGGAGCAAAGCAGCGTAACTAGAGCCCGAACTCCCCATGGTCTAAGCTGTTGCTGGGGATTTAGTGACTCTTCTCTGGCTAGACACGACACCCAGTTCAGAGAGGTGCCAAGCACCGTTAGTGCTTGCTGATGCTCAGCAGATACAGGCTGATTCCAAGTGAACGCTTCTTTTTTAGCAGTTTGTGCTTGTTTTAAGCAAGGATTAAAATAAGCAACATATTTAATAAATAATGGATAATAAAAATAGAAGCCCAAAACAAAATAAATGGCAGATTTTTTTTGTTGTTTGTTTTGTTGTTTTTTCTTAGAGTGCCACGGAGGCAGTATATTCATTAGCTAAAACTTCAAGGGTGCTGAAATCAGCACCCTCCCAGTGCAGCTCCCAGGGGCTGGGGAACTTCATTATCCCTCGAGATCTGGCCTATTTCTATGAAGCCCACACAGTCCAACTCTGCCCCTTTGCACGTCAGAAAGGAGAAGAGAGAAGGACAGACTCCCCCTAAACARTACGGACAGACAGCACAAACTGAACTTGCAGCTGCCGTAAACCTGCTCTCTTGCCTGTTTGCTTCCTTTTACTGCCAYGAGTTTAAGTGCCGCTTAAGAGCAAGGCATCTCTGAAAGCACAAGCAATTCTTTGGAATTCACTTCTGCTTTTCTACCCAAAACTAAATCTACTACTGAGAGGTGCTTGGAACAGAGCAGAGCAACTACTCATGTATAAGTTCTCCGAGGCTGTGAGCTTCCCCTGCGCTCAGCTGGACAGCAAGAGCAGAGAGGTTTTCTRAACACAGACACTATCAGGTGCATTCTATCTGGGGATCATTTACAGAAAAAAAAAGCAGCATTGAAGAAATGCAGGCAAAGCATTAAAGTATCAAATCCATTCAGGGCTTGCGTTTTCTCCAGGGAGGGTCAGTGGGAGAGGAAAGGGAGGGTGTCTCTTCTTTCAGTGGCAGACGGTATTTTGTGTTTTCATGCTGGAGTGCAAGATTATATGTCAGTACCTCAGCTGTGGCAGTGCATAGGAAGAGAGAAGAGAATAAAACAGAGTTACCTTTCGGAGCAGGCAGGGGTGTTGAGGGACTAGACACTTGAGCAGTTGGTTCAGCCCCTGAGCTTCCTGGTGCTTTATCTAGGAGCATCTCCTCCCAGGTAGTGGGTTTGTGTGGAGATTTGCTGGCTTATTGCTGGAGCCAGGATGCTGCCTCTGTAGCAACAAGACGCTCAGTGCACTTTCCTCTCTGTTGCTCCTGAATTCACGTGGCTCAGTGGCTCTTACTCCGTGTCCTGGGCTGCCCGCTGCGGGTCTGGCTGAGCAGCATCGTTGGGGACGTCCTTCCTTTGCAGGCAAGTGGAGAGGGGAGCRGGGACGCTCCGTTTCACTGGCGCAGCCAGTCCCCTGCGCCAGTCCCCTCCCTCGGCAGCGGCAGCCAGAGCACCGGGAGCGGGAGCGTGTTTGGGCGCTGCGAAGTTTGAGCAAGGTTCGCTTTAACTCTTTGGTGCTTGCAAGCAGGAATCCAGTTAGATGTGAGCCAGGGGGACAGGGTATCAGTTTCTCTCTCTGGTTTTCTGSAGAGTAAACAGGTTTTTATTTCACACCTCTGGGGAGGCGTAGCTGGGGAATGTTCCCAGCTGGTCTCTGCCTGGAGCTGGGGACGGGCATCACGTGCCAGCTGAGACCCTCAGGATCAGCCCGAAACTCTGCGGCCCCCGTGCTTTTGTGGTATTTCTGTGTGTACTCAGGGACTGATGCCCTGGGCAAGGCTGGCAGCTGGGTGGGGTTAGAGGCCATCTCTGCCCAGGGGAGTTTGCAACTGTGTGTGAATAAACATAACCCCAACTTTGCTGTTTTGTGGGCAAGAATGGTTTTCACCAATTAACGAATGTGTGAAGCAGAGGTTTACCTACCAGACCCCCCAGGAATGAGGCAGGAGGGAGTCAGGATGAGAACCCAAGCCACCCCGATCCTTTTGATTGCCAACTCTTTTAACCTGCATTTCTTCACCGCCCCAGGCTGATGAAGAACATTCTGTGACTGTTATAGCTCTTGCCCAAGGAAGCGCAGACTCGGTATCAATGGACCTCTGTAATTTCAGCTGTGTGAATGTTTCAGGAAGGGGCCACGGGAACATCCCCTTCACTTCCCACAGGGTGATTGAATCCCTGGGAGCAGAGGCCAGTTTGGGAGCCTTGCAGGGAGTGCTGGGGTTTTGCTGGCGGAGATTGGAACACAGGCTGTAAGCACCGCGCTGCGTGCGGCTGCGTGGCCCCAGCTGCCGGGCACTGCTGCTCTGTGTCCCTGTCACCCCGCAGCTGGCTTGGCTGGGGACACTGCACAGGGGCAGCTCCTAGCTTGTCATCTGCCTGGCGAGGGTGCYCAGCAGTTGTCTTTGCACTTGGGCATGGGGAACAAGAGGTCCAGACAAGAGGATTTTGTTCTTCCCTCCACATTTCCACTCAGACCTGTCTCCCCTAAGTCCCTCTTAGGCCTCCCGCAGCCAAAGGCCAAAGACTCCCCCACAGAAGGGCCAAAGGCTCATGGAGCTGCACAGCTCTCATCCTCTCACTGSCCCTTCAGGCGTGGGGATAGGGAAGAAAGCTGCATTTTGGGGTTGGGGTTGGACTAGATGACCTCTGAGGTCCCTTCCAACCTTAAGCATTCTATGATTCTATGATTTTATGTGTGTCCTTCTCAGCCTCTAGAGGTGAGCTGCACAAGCTCAGTGTATGGTAGGAACACACCACTATTTGCACAACTGAAGTGGAGCCCCTGGAAGAAGCACGATTCCCCCCACTTTGTGGTGGGCTGAGCCCTCTGAAAGCCTGGCCTTGTAAGGCAGCTTTGATTGCTGATTTTCTTTCACATTTTCTTTATTGTAATAACATGCCTCTTACCAGGATTGCAGCCTGTGCCGGAGATACTGAATTCCCTGCTTTGCACATGGGAATGAAATACCATCATAAATCAGAAAGAAGACGAGGTGTATTTTGCCCTGGAATCTGTACAATTACTCTTGTACAAACAAACTAGCTGTCAGCACCTCCAAACCCTGCACACGCATCCTCTTATTTAAACAGAAATAAGTGAGCTCTGTTTACCAGGAATAATGTTCCTGATTGAGTTATGGGTCCCAGAAGAGGCAAATCTATGTGGAAAAGCTGTGATCCTGCTTCTAAATAATGCTAATGAGCAGCAYTGAAATGAAAGGCTCTCTTTCCCTGTGCCCATCCACGCAACCCAGCTTTCCTACTCAGCTTTCTCTGCCTTTGTTGATTTTGCAGTAAATTATCTCTCCCTTTTGTAGGACAGAGCTGCTCCTTCCGGATGGGCATGCTTGGATTCTTGTTTCCTTTGTAGCTCTGTATAATAAAGACAGATGAATTTTAGATAATGCCACAATTTATAGCAGCTGAGGCTGATGAATACTTGACTGACAGACTGTTGAATTCCTGAATTACTGGGAGTATGTAAGGCTTTCTCTCTATGTAAATTCTCAGATCAACCAAATGGTAAATTTGTGCTGCATAGAATGAAGGTGTTCAGATGCCCCTTGGAGGTACACGGAGATATGAGCCCAGTGAAAGTTACTTTTCAAGCTGCTGTTGAGAACTTGAGGGCAGAAGATCGGGGTCTGCTTGGGTGCTTYCCTCACATTATCTGAGCTGCTCATTGAGTTGTGCACCAGACGTGCCACTTCTCACATCCTTCTCACGATGGACCCGCACCAGCCTTASACATAGATTCGGATTCGACGAAGAGCAAATGAGATCCCTGAATGGTTGTTGGTGGGCAAAGTCTGTATTCTCCCATGGGGATTCCTCTGTTACCAAATTTATGGATCCTGTCAACACAATACGTGCTCACTCTTCTTCTCTTAGAGCAGCTTCTCTCCTCTGGGTAGGTGTTCAAGCTCTGCCCGGATGAGCGTTCGGCTGTCGGAGCCGCCRTGCTGGGCTGAGGGGCCCTGCTTGCCCCTTCCCTGGCTGCCGGCGGGCTGAGGGGAACGTCACCCCGTGGCCCAGCAGCCAGGCCTGCACTAGGTGGCCGAGGCACCAGCTGAGCAGCACGAGCCTGCAGCAGCAGTCATGGCGTGTGGCGGTAACGACCGGGGCGAGCACTTGTAGCTTGTGCCGTGCGGCCACCGCAGGGCTGCCTGGAGAGGTGCCCTGCACCCTGCATGCAAGGCAGAGCTCCTGAGGCGCCCAGCTGGCTCTGCAGATGTGTCACTTAGTAAAAGACCCATCCTTTGCCCTTGCTGCCTTCCTCATCCATGGACAGCCACACAGCTTGCCTGGAGATGCCTTGCTGCCCTGACAGGCATCTTGTAACTGGAAATGCAGAGGGGTTGTTCTGGGACCTGTTCCTCTAACGGCCTGGGTGGTTCTTGGTTTCCATCTTGAAGGCTATGAGCACTTTGAACAAAAGGTGACACCCTGTGGAAATGACACTGAAGCAAGTGATGACACTTGGTGCTCTTGCCTTAGCAGAGTGAAATCTGTTGTAAATGTTTTTGTTGGAACATATTTTGTTTTTATAGCCATGGCATTGAATGGCAGGTGATCTTGTACCACCAACAGGCAGGTGCAGAACATAAAAAAATCATGTATTGGGAGATTTTGAATCAGAATTCTGTGAATTTAGGTTTGAACTTTTCACTGCTCATTCAGATTCGAATGGTTGGTTTAGCAGCCACCATCCTCAAAGGAGGAACACCACAGTCCATTGGCTGGAAACCTGAAAGCAGAGTTGCCTTGATCTCATTACCTGTGCCATTAAGGGCCTCAGACACATGTACTGACGTCTCCCTGCTTCAATTCCTTTGTACAAAAAGGGAAAAGTTACCGCTTCTTCTTCCYTCTAAAGAGTCTGTCAGTACAAAAGGCTACACAAATGCTTGTGGTCATATGGCTGCTGCCCCAGTGGAGCCGAGTGCCTTTGCCCCCACATAATCTTGTTTTGCCTGGTACAGTGTGCCTGGAATTCCTTGTGTGGTTGGGCTAAACGAGCCTCGTTTTTTTGAAAGGCCTCAGGCTGTTTTGACAATTTGGCTTTGTTTGAACTTTCATCATCAAAAATATTGCAATTCTTCCGTTTATTTATAGAAAAGWGTTCTCGCACAGATAACTGAAGATATTCAGTCTGGTCTGATGCTGCTGCTAATTTCTAAGGAACATTTCTAATTTGATTTGCTGTTGTCAATGAAGGGCTGCATTGTATTGCACAGATTTCTGCCTGAAACAATCCCAGACTTCGTCCTGGGGAGTTTGGGAAGGAYGTTGCAGATCCCCTGAATGGTGTTAACCCCTCTCGCAGGACAGACTTGCTGTGGCCTAGGTAGGTTGATGAGAGCCCAGGTAGGGCTGGTGGCACTGAGCAGGGTTGTATTGACATTCTTGGAGCAGAGACCACCTGAACAGCAAGTTTCAGCTGGACCCAGAACGACGTTGCATTCACCATCCGCCAAGGTCCCACACAGCAACTTTTGGGCCTTGACAGAAAATAATGGAGCAGTGAGTCAGGCACAGAGCTAAAACTAGGTACTGTGGTCTGTAACCCAGAGTCCTGAGTGTTCTGGTTTCCTCTGCAGTTGGCTGGTTCTTACAACCGTGCCTATTTTCAGGGAGTTGAGCACAACTCCCAGACCCAAGAGCTTCAGGTTAGCCTGGAGAAGCTTTGGGCTGTGCTGAGGAGCTGCTTTTGGTGGCCAGTTGCTAAGACAGACCTGTGAGGTGCTTGCTGRGCAGCGAGCTGCTCTGCTCTCGTCACTGGAAGTGGGCACCCGTCGCAGCGCTCATTACCTAAGTGACTCTTCTACCCATCTGCCCACCTTGCCAGAGGGTCTTACACAGCCGATGGCAGCGCACTGCAAATCTCACGACTGGCTCTTATTTTAGCAGCTGCATAATGGACTGGTTTCCAGGTTGTTGTCCAGACAAGTAATCCATGTGGACAGGGCAGCATTTGCCAGGAACTAGGTCACCCATAAGACTTTTTTTTTCCCACTTGCATGATAGGGCTGGTGTGCCAAGGAGGCTGAGGAGACCTCAGCAACAAAACCAGCACCTTTCCTGGGACGCTCTGTGAAATGTTTTCCCCTTTGGTGCTTAATTTGTTTTTCCTGACATTCTGGGTATGCTTGGTGGCACCTCAAAACATACTTGCTTTCAATTTTCTTCCCATCTCATTTCCCCACAGCCTGGCCCCATCCTCTGGCTGTGGACAGCTGGAAAACTGCCCTCAGCCTCAGCTGACGTTGCTCCATGGACAAGCATGTGAGTTGGTGCTGAGCCAGGGACTACATGATGTCGCTGTCAYCACAAAGCC